AAGGCCATCAACAAAAGCCCCTCAAAATGCCTTTAACATAGGCCTGAACTAGGGAACTACATGCATGTAAAATCACAGATTTTGGTCTTAAATAGGGTAACGGTTTTTGGGAAGCAAGTCGCACACTGTGACCCACTGTGATCCCCCCCGCCCCCCAACCCCCAACCAACCCGGATCATTAACTTAACAGAAGAAAAGAAAAAGCAGGTTAAACAGTAAATTACAAATTATATTTAGAGAAGAAGCCACATCAGTCTTAGCTGGTTTATGAGGGTCCTCTATCCTGGTCCAATTGGTTTTTGTGGAGGGAGGAGAATCAGTGAACCTGGAGAAATACCCTGCGAGCAAAGCAAGAACCAACAACAAACTCAACCCACTTATGGCACTGGGCCGGAATCGAATCCAGACCACATTGGCCCTCGCTCCACTGCACCATCCCTGCTCCCCAAAGCAGTAACCTTAGTCTCAGAGAAACCAGAATTATAATACAGACACTTCCATAACGCAGAAACTCAGCTCTCTCCTTTGGTGTCTATATTAAAGAGGTTTGACAGTACAAAATCAAAATCGTAACTAACATAGTAACGTCATGACTTTATCCTAACAATGAAAAAATTAACAGGGCAATAAATTTGCTATTTCCTTTTCCCTGAGTGTTTGATAGTACCCCAACTGTATTTATTGAACACCCTCCCACACAAAAGTCTTACCAAATCAAAGAAAACAGTTTTGCGCTTCTCCTGAAAGATCATCTGTCGGATCAGAATAACGATATATAAAAATGCAAACAGCAGTGTCAAGATTTCAAAAGCTGCCCGAACCTGTTGGAAAAAACACACAGAATACTGACAGTCAACAATGCCTTTCACCATTTGAAAAATGCCAGTTAAAGAACCATTTGTTTTTTCTTCCAGTGCAAATTACATGTAGCATGCTGTTAAACATTGTGTATCATTGTCTGCTCAGATATTTAGAGGACTAAAGGAATATTCTCTTCCAGTTATCCAGGTTACTCTCCAACTTTTATTTCAGTGGACAAAGACAACACAGCAACCCCAGATCTCCAGATCTTCAACCCCAACCACTTGACAGAGAGTCCAGTTTAATTTGAAAACTATCTGTGGTGGCCCACTAGTGCTGCTACCACATACTGAAAAACAAGACCATCTCTGTGCGAAGACTTGCCTTCTCTGTCCAATGAGATTTTACTGTCACGCCAGTAAAATATAGTTAATGGAGCGTGACGTACGTTCTGAATGAGCCGTTCATGGCGGCATCACTTTCTATAGAGCTAT